TATATATTATATATATTATATATATTATATATATTATATATATTATATATATTATATATATTATATATATTATATATATTATATATATTATATATGTATATATATGTATATATATATGTACACAGTAATTTTAGAAGGGCCATTTTGGCCCCATAGGGCCATTTTGGCTTTTCAAAACCGGGGCCGTTTTGGCTCTAACAGAGGCCAAAACAGAACACTAGGGGCCAAAACAGAACACTAGGGCCGTTTTGGCCCTTATTTTTCTAGCCGTTTTGGCCATGAATAGGGCCAAATTGGAATGTTAATGGTTAAAATAAGAATTGTGTCACTTTGCAATAAGTACCGTTTTGGCTCTAACCGGGGCCAAAATGGATCACAAGGGCTATTTTGGCACCTCGAGGGCCGTTTTGGCCCCTATTCTTAATGCTATTTTGGCCCTAAATTGAGGTGCTGTTTTGGCCCCATATTTAGGTGCTGTTTTGGCCCTATATTTAGTGCTGTTTTGGCCTATATTTAGGTGCTGTTTTGGTCCCATATTTAGGTGCTGTTTTGGTCCTCGTATTTAGGTGCTGTTTTGGTCCCATATTTAGTGCTGTTTTGACCCTCATACTTATTGTTATTTTGGCCAAGTACAGGACCAATTTGGGATGTTATTCTAAATGACTAAAATTCATATAGCTAACTTTTCTTCAGGAGTATAGTGACCCTATAGTAACACAGGGACTGGTTTCGGATATGGAGCCAGATTTAAATTAAGGGACGTCTTGGTAGAAGTTTTATATTATGGTAATTGACGTATAATTTTTTAGAGAATCCATCTTCATTATTTGCTTATAAGAATTTTCACTACATTTTTATGGTCATTACTGGTATTTGGCAGATTTATGCTTCAAGATTCATAGGTTATGATTGCTAGCGAGAGCCGAGAGATAAAAGCACTTTTGGTGTATCTATTTTAATTTAAAGACAAGGGCCACGCGCGCAATGAGTTGTGGTATGTTGTGTATCGAATGTCAGTGTGAAATGTGTGATTTGCAAATTTTTTACTTTTTCGTTCGAGTATATTTCGACGAAGAAAAGCCTGCTTTTGACAGATTTTCGTTATATTTTTTATTGGACAAGTGACTCCGAACCTGCCAAAGGCTTATTAAGCCTTATTTGATCTCAGGTACGAAAAATAATTGTTTATATCATATAATTACAACGTCCATTCGTGGTTGTTGTTGCTGCTAAAATTTGAATTTGCACGCGCGAGAATTCATACGTAGTTCTATATTGAAGTTAATATTTCATTTCAATGCCGTCAAATATTAGTTAAAATCACCAATTCAAATTTTGGATAAACACATTATGGTAAATACTGCGTTTTGCACTTGTTTGGCTTTCCCAAAGCATGTTTGAAACCACATAGTATAAAACTATATGTGAATATGAATAATGACATGCAGTTGTCATTATTCATATTCACTTAGGTTGTCTGCATCAAGCCTCGAAGTCAAAACATGAAAATTATTTGTGAGTTTCAATTTATCAGGGCACATTATGTCTTAAAGGGTTAGTGCTGCCCACAATATGGTAAAAAGTATAAACAGTAAAACTTTGCTAGCTTGAGTTTGAAGGATTTCCAATCCAAACCCTTGTAGAGTTTACATATTGTATGTTTATGATTTCAGGGTTTGTAATCCAAGTGAGAATATATACATTTTAAGACCTAACCAGGAACGACTGCAAAAAATGCAGTACAAGGTAGGTATTCCTTTGGTAGGAATTGAACCCACGGCCCTGCGATTCCGGTGCAGCGCTCTAACCAACTGATATTGATTCCACCAAGTTTAGTGCAAGAATCTAAGTTATTCAAGTCCACCTTTACATATTGTATGTGCCTGTTTACATGTATGTGATAATGGCATGGCTGGACAGTTTTAATCCAGTCTTGCTGAGAAACCTGGCTAAGCAAAATAGACGGGATACATGCACCCCATCTGGCAGGGATGATAGAGTGCTTACTGTATATGAGAATTTCACGTCTTGGCAGGTGGGATCCCGGCAACAAGTAATGAAGTCTCACCTAAGCCAAATAGAGGTAGAATCATTCATTTTACTGTAAACACTCTAAATAGAGTTCATATTGCAGGAGGGATCATAAAACTAGTATTCTTTTTACAAGTGCTGACATCTTGTATTTTTGTTGCCAGCATACCTATTACAGCCAACTTACAGACAAGGGAAAGCTGCTTAAAATTACTACATGGTGAGTATGATTATAGAGATTCCTTATAGGTAGATTTTACCCCAGAATCTTGACTTAGATGATTACTCATTAGAGTGAGTGGAAGTCAAAGCTTTCCATTCTGCACTCAAAAGCACAGTATCAAATGGGTCATTCCAGAAAACATCCATACCGCCCCCACGGAGGAAATAGGAAGTTAACCCCCTACCCCCTTCGGATGTCCTAATACATTTACTATTATCAGAAACAATTTTTTCTCCCCTCCCCCTCCGGACGGCAGAAATTTCCTCCGTGGGGGGAGTATGGATCTTTTCTGGAACGACCCAATATGAATACTGGGTTGATGCCAAATTATTGTCTTCTGTCTATCAAGACTCAAGTGGAGAGTGCTAATGTATTGATGGTCATGCATTTATAAGACAAATCATAAATTAATCTAGCTTTCTTTGTATTACATGCACATTGGCTTTTTATCACATTTCTGGTAGCCAATGCTGAATGAACAAAATCCATGGATTGAGTTGCATTGCATCTTGATACACCCCGCTTTATTATTTTACCCTGTCTAATGCCAGACGATTTTACTTGTCAAGGGGAGAACACTGGTACTTAATGGATTAAAGACAATAAAATAGGGACGTAGGCACATTAACCCATTAATCACCAGCACTCCCACTCACAAATATGTCTGGCAATTGACATTAGACAGGAATACAATAAAGTAGGAGTGCAATGCAACTTCATGGGTTAACATTTTCCTGTGTGACCATGATTTCTGGGTAGTGATGCACCAACTAAATTGAAATGTCAGTAATTTGATGTCATCTTTGAATTTTGTGTAATGACATGGAATATCGGTGTCAGTATCTGAAAAATATCAGTCTTTCAGTATCGGTTATCGGAATATCAGTGAACCTTACACGACTATTTCTGGGTTAGCATCTTACTAGCTATAATTTGGTCTAAGGTTGGAGCCATAGTCATAGTGAATCAAATTTTTCCTATGAAAACAAATATTAATTAAATAATCTATCTGTAATTATTCATTATGTAGGATGGAGTTTACAATGCGATAAAGAATCTTTGAACATGGTAGATGCTTACTAAAATGCAAGGGTGATGTTGTCGGTACTGTACAGTATTTGTGATCTAATATGCTACTGGCTCATTCCTGATTCCAGAAAACATTCATGGTTTTACCTCAGTTTACCTGTTTAACCCATTATGTGACAGCACTGGCAAGTAAAACAATAAGACATTATGATATTCATATATACAGTAAATGTGTTGCTGTGCCTGCATATTTTACACATAATTTTTTGTAGTGACTAGTGGTGGGTATTGTCACACCAAAGTGCCCAGCATCTTGTAAATATTTTAATGTAATGTTTAACTTCATGTAAATACACCTTTTTAAACTTGCATTGTGTGATTATTTGAATATGTCTAATGAGCAACGATAAAATGGTGCTGTCCTCAGAATCAAAACATCCCCCTTTTGAAATAGCTAAACAGCCCCTTTTAAAGAGCCGAAATAGCCCCTTTTGAAAGAGCCAAAACGGCCCCTTTTGAAACCACCAAAACGGTCCCTTTTGAAAGAGCCCAAACAGCCCCTTTTGAAAGAGCCAAAACAGCCCCTTTTTCGAAGAGCCAAAACAGCCCCACGTAGAGCTAAATTGGCCCTTTTTTGAGAGCTGAAATTGCTATCATTCTAATTATAAGATTGAAAACAGCCCTTTGAAAGAACCAAAATGGCCCCACATAATAGCCAAAATCGCCCTTTAATAAGTAGCCAAAATGGCCCTATTTTAATGGGGCCAAAACGGCCCCATTAAAATGGGGCCGTCTCAGGGTCAAAATTTTGGCCCCATTTTAGGGGCCATTTTGGCCCTTTTGAAATTACTGTGTATAGAAATGGTATACATCATCCGCACTGCGCTTGCTACAAATGTAATATCGAAAAATTAAAAAAAGAAATTGAAGAGGCGAGAAAAGAATTTAAAGCTGGAAAAATGGGTAAACTAACCAATTTATCTACTGTTTCAACCATCGGTTGTGCCTCTTCCCTTTGCTTTTCTATTTTCTTTATACGATACCAATATTGTAAATTTACACCTGTATATTCTTCCAAATGTTTCATAGCAGTATGTTTTCTCTCATTCGCCTCGCCCATGACCCGATTGTGGACGTCTTGATCCCTGAAAAAATTTCCAGCTGACACTGCCGGTGGTGCCCACACATTTCGCATCATCTGAAACTGCATCTGGCAAAATAACACTTCGTATAAAAGCGCATCATATTGTATCGATTCGGGTATATAACCCCGTTCTACCAGCGTGGCTGTCAAAGTTGTAATGTTCCATTCATCTTTTTTGGATTTAGTTACATAATTATTGGGGTTAGGTATACTAAATGTTTTCCCATTCATCCATCTTGCTACAACCATTTCCCAATTATCTGCATAATATGCGGTATAGTGTGGATTTGAAAGCGACATATTTAAAATGGTAAAAATTTTAAAAAACTATCATACATATATACAGTATATACTGACAACCTTATTTGGGCGTATGACATTTCGATCTAATATAACTTATAAAACAACGCGATACTAACACACCACTGTGTTCTAAAATATACAGAATTATAGCTATATCATCATCACCAAAAAGCAAATATCCCTCTTTCAAATAACGCATCAAACCGTTGGGTAATAACAATTCATCATTCTCACTCACTGTCAAACATAAAATGCTACCCGCAATACTAAATTGAAGCTGTGTTGTAGTACGCAAACCAGTGTCAGCATTTACGTGAGAGACCATGACATGTCTATCATTCCAACACATACATAAACCATTTTGATAATGTCGACAAGGTCTGCACCATAAAACAGTATAGATACCCGAGTAAACCACATCATCATAATACCAAACTAATGGTGTGAAACCTTTATGATTTTGCACACACTCAAAAAACCTTATTATATTTCTATTGAATTCGTATACGTCGTCCTCATACGGACAACAACCATACAACCTTGAAGTCATGTCTACGTCATTGGTAACTTTAGACCGTCGTTTAAATAGCTTATTTAACAGTTTCGAATTTAATGCGAGTATGAAACAATTACAAATCAAAATGGAATACGACCATAAAAGGGCAAAAGAGAAAAAACAACAATATATAGGTAAGAAAGTATACGTTGTGCACGTAAAACTTTTCCAAATGTCTTACAATGTTGATCGGTAAAATACCGTATGTATTTCACGCTATTGGAACGTATCACACACTATTCTACCGCAACAACACACAAAACTGTTATCGTGTCGTTTTGGTAAAATATATGGATGTTGTTTTACCCGAAAGTACATACCTATACGTACGGTTACAAGTACCTACAATTCGACACCCTGTGTACCCGTTCTTTTTACACCCAGGCGAAATTATGAAAATACACACGGTAAGCAAAGTTTTTTCCCAAAAAAATCTTTAAAAAAAATTAACACGCATTATACCATCTTATAGATCAACGGGGCGCAAATGTCTGTGGATTCAATTGTGCAAAAGATCGAGTTGAAAGAATATCAAGAAGAGCGAGCATCTAACAACCCATACAACGCGTTTAAAGACATTCTAGCTTTAAGTGTTGCAAAACCACAATGGCATCAATGGCAACAATAGAAATATTGTAAATACATGTAAAAAACGAAATAAATTTTTTTAATCATATACATTTGTGTGTGGCTACATTTTTTTTTACCAACTCAATCAGATATAAAGATACTAACACACCGGTGTGTAGCAAAATATAGTTAATCACATCACTATCGCAATCATTACTACGTATTGCATCATTAAAACAATGTTCAAAATGTCTATCTTCAAATTCATTAGACAGTACGGGATAATCCGACATTAAATTATGATTCGTTTGATACATTTTAAGACCCTTGCGACACATTCTAATAAAAACTCTTTTATAAAGACGATCCGTGATCGCCGCTACATTACTACGATAAAATACATCAATAGCAATTAGACTATCTATAAATACAATATTACGAATCAATGTACTATCAGCAACAAAAAAGACAGTATCGATGTGTGTATAAATTACATTATCGTAATACCATGTCATCCAACCCGCACCGTGATGTTTTCGTTTTTTAAAAAATTCTTCTAATTCACTATTAAAAGTTTGACCCTTTTCACAATGTATAGGATAGTCATTTTGATTCGGCATCTTTACTACGACTGTACATAAATCCTCCCTGCGGAACCAATTCGCAAAAACAGGTCTCGTCGGAACTCTTTCTCTTTTCTCTCACAAACTCCTCCTCAGGTACTCGTACTATTAGCTCTTCCAAATTCCATGTCTTGTTACTGGGTCTTAAAAAAAAAAATAATTACATTGGAAAAAATTTAATTTTTACAAATTTATTTTTTTCTTACCCGTTAACACGAATACATTGACCGTGCTGAAGTACCCCCCAACTAGTCAGCTGTGTATGAGGAATAATTAAAAACAACTGTTTTCTCACGACTTCGCTAGACACGATCATATCATGATTGTGATTTGGCACACTATTATAACATATATTAAACGGCTGATTTGAACGATTTCTATAATAAGCAAACTTAATAGTATCCCCCACATAAGTCTTCATACATTCATTGTTGGACGCCATAATTTTTTGTGTTTGCGTTTTTCTACTCTAAACATATATTCATTTTACTATACCCATATTTGGGCATACATCAAAAAACATCGTCTATACTTTACCCTTTTCTTCCACAACCGCCAAACACTCGTCAAATGATTTCTCTATTTGTTGTATACCCTCAAGCATCGTTGCCATTCCCTCAGTTATGTCTCTTGACCAATCTTCAAAAGTTTTAACAAAATCATCTAAGGGTTTCCAAGGATCTCTCATCCTACATTGTCCCCTCGCGTACCCGTCATCACTTTGTATTTGTAAAAATTCCTTTTTCTCTACACAAACATTACACACACACCCTTTACTGCAAGACATCTTTATTTTTTTCCCAGAAACCCAAAAACCAACCATATTTATATCAACGGTATTTATTACACATGAATATTTGCTTAAAAATATTACAAATATACTCTATAATTCAAATGACCCTATTTGGTCATATGCATATTTGGTGTAAATGGTTCATATTTTTTCAGCTTTTTCCACAACCTCGTTTTTTTCCTATAAAAATAAAAACATATAAATAAGGGTAAATCAGCACACAATATTTCATAAGTAACGCTTACCTGATATTGATACGTCACAAACGGCGCGAAAGTTGACAACTAAACTACCAAGAATTTTTTTCACCCAGCTTTTTAGCGGGTGGTATATATATAAAATCAAAACAAAAAAATGGCTGAAACAACTCAACAAGGGTAAGAAATCTATATATATATTTACACGTCTTCATCATTTTTTCCTTACAAAACATTTAAAATACATAGGTTGACAGGATTTCCTATACGTCCCGAAAATTGGTCGGGAAAAGAAGAAGATCAACACGAATTGTTCATACATATTCTAGCGCATCTAACAATTGGACAACTCTCAAAAGAAAACAATACTTGTCTAGTTTACGAGAATTTTCGTAAACATTTCCAAAGACTAAGCAAAGAAAATTGGGCACAAGCTGTATGGTATTTTGATCAAATTCTCGCTGATTGGAATGTCGAATATCTAACCACTGTCGGTGTAGAAGACGGTACAATTACCAACGACCCCGGAACCTGTGACACACTTTGGAGTATCAAAATTAGAAGTCTTCGTCCCAATGGTCAAGTGAAACCCTACATGGATGTATATGATTTCATCGACATTAATTATATAGCAAAAATATAAACAAATACTAACACTTAATTTTTGCTTTTCGCAGTATTCACAAGTTTTCTATAAAAATAAAATATATATTATTAAATATATTTATGTTGTTTGTCCCGAAAACTTTGAAACAGCTGTAATAGCTGTAATCATCGTTTTGGGATTGACAAGCATTTACTTTTATCACAGTTGTTTACCTTAATTTTTGTTCTATCAACCACATAATGATACCGCTTTACAGGTTTTCCGCGGTATAAAAGAGGAAGTACTTTCATGGACACAAACCTTCGTGTGGGATAGCAAGTACATACATCATTCTGGAAAAAATATTTTTTTTATTAATTTCAATTTCTTTAAATTTACCTTTTTTTATATAATGTGAGTTGTGGAAATTGGGATTACTTGATCTACCTTGATCATGATGTTGTCGTCAAGAACCAGCTGAACCAACCTTTACAAAACCAAAGAGTAAATGAACAAACGTTGAGACTAGACGATCTTTTGCTTCGCGTTTTTTTAACTAGAAGGAAATTATCGTCTATTCTTACCCTGTTCCCTCTTCAGAAAAATCGTACAGCAATAATAATGAATGCAACAATAAAAAAAGGCAAGAAAAAACCCATTAACAACAGCGTCAACGCTAGCGAAAGACCGTCGTGATTCTCGCACATTGTGTACTGTATCTATACCGTTAATCTGTGCAATATATATGTCTGACCAACTTAGGTGGGAATCGAACCCACTTTGACTTAGGACTACACCCCCCTTTCCATTTTTTCACTGATATGGAAAGGGACGACCCCTAACGCGTTACCATACCGCCACACCGCCTACCATTTAAGCGGTACCCTGTTGGCAGACATTATACTATACAATGATTTGGCTTTTATCTACCTTTTACTTTACCCTCACAATTATTACGGTTTTTGTAAAAACCACATGCGCACGCATTCGCTAATTCCCATCACTACTTATTAACAGAAAAAAGATGAAAACTGAATTGTTTGGTGAGAAATATGACCGCGTGAAAGAATTCTTTGAAGGCGATTGTTGTGCGCTTGCTTATAATTCTGATCAGGATTGGTTTGATGATGAAGATGAAGAATTCGCATTTGATCCCAATGGTTCAAATAAATGGTTTGACGACGCATACCGTGAGGTGAAAGAAGAACAAAATGAAATGAAAAATGGATACAGGGAAACAGCGAGACGACAATTGATGGTTGCCGAACAAAGAGTTGAAGACGCAAGAGAACAATTAAAACTTGCTTGGGATGCTTGTGAAATTAGCATTTTATTAGAAACCAAGGAATTATAATTATATTTTTTTTGAAAATTTACAGTTTGGTATTATTTTAAAATTTTTTTACGAAAAAATAGGAACACATGGAAAACACCCAAGTGGTATCACACATAACTTATTAATAATTACCCAGGTAATAACCGACTAGTTATTTAGTAAGTAGTCGGGTATTATTTGGCTAATTATTATTAATACGCGTCCGAAGAAAATATGTGGAAACACCAAGTGGTAGCACACAAACGACGTCACGCACTTACAAAAACGGCGGCAAATTCGAACGCAACTCACTTCGGTCGACCAAGGCTTTGGGTTAGGAGCTCCGCCACGCATGCGCGCACGCAACCGGCACACCCGGACGCCTGTCAATCACACGACACACACACCCACCTGTCAATCAACCACACGCGAGCAAGATTGAAAAATAGGAACGCCCCTTTCAAATTTTTCCCCCCGTCCGTACAGCCAGCGGTCTCGACCTTTTGCGCCCGCGATACTTTCACTTTCCATTCAAAGCTCCAGTTAAATTAAGTTGGTTCACACACCCCCTTTTTTTTTAAAAAAATATTATATATTACTACTAATGTTTAATCATACTAGTCACCAACAACATACGTCGTTTTGACAGACTTCTCTGTGTTTGCGTTAGCATTTTCTTTTGGCTTACTTTTAACTTTGTCTGTTCTAATTGTCTTTCCGAGGTTATATCTCTTCGTTTGCAAATCTACATCTTCAGTATGAATTACTTGATCATCATTAACAACGTAACTCTCGTTTTTCGATTCTTCCTGGAGAATTTCATATCGATTGGATGTTACAACAGGCAAATAATCTTTGATGTCTTAGCTGGGTCATTTGATTTTACCTTACGCCATCCTGACTCCTGAGGTTCCGGGTTGCTTTTCGCTATCCTTTTCGGTCAAGGTGTAAAAGCTTGAGTGTTGTAACTAGACATCTCTTTCATTTTCCAAGTCTTTCACTTTCATATGGAGAAGTGACACGGTACACGATATATTTGTATTTCTTTCTTGTAGTTGTCCATTTTGCGACTTTAGCCTGCCGCACGTACACGAGCGCACTTGTCGCGCGTACTTGTTATTCATGACAAGTTGGATCGACAAAATTTCCTCGTGTGCGGGCAACATTTACGGCATTTTCGTCATTCGTGACATGTAAACCAAGTATCAAACATGTTTGATATTTTTCGTCATTCGTGACAAAAAAGTTCCCGTGTGCGGCGAGCAAACGACAAGCGCGCCTGAATAGGAAAATTTGTGCATGCGTGCAACTTGCAGAATTAAAAACAACATGGCGGATCAAATCACGAGCTCGTGTCTTGTTTTTAATTCTGCAAGTTGCACGCATGCGCAAATGTTCCTATTCAGGCGCACTTGTCGTTTGCTCGCCGCACACGAGAATTTTTTTGTAACGAATGACGAAAAATATCAAACATGTTTGATATTTGGTTTATGTAGTATAGTCAAGATTGTGTAATATATGTTAATCAGTTGTCCTAATTAGTCATTGTAATATATTCATAACAGTTTGTATAAATAGCATACGTATGTCAATAAACTGCTGATTAAACTACCCGAGACTGAGTATATTATATTGGCGACGAAGGTAAAAAATTAAGGCGTAACATGGCTACGTACGGTCGAATAGATGAATACGACGAGAGTGAAGAATGGACACAGTATGTGGAGCGAATGGATCACTATTTCGAAGCGAATGATATCGAAGACAAAGATAAGAAACGCTCGATTTTCCTGAGTGTTATAGGTGCGAAAACCTATAAACTACTGCGAGGTTTAATACGGCCAGAGGTTCCGAACAAATTGTCAAATGAAGAATTATCTGAAGCTATAAAAAACCACTATGTTCCGAAGCCATCAGTAATTGTACAACGTTATGAATTTAATACTCGGGTCAGAAGAAACGACGAATCAATCTCGACTTTTATGGCCGAACTTCGGGCATTGTCTGAACATTGTGAGTTCGGTAGTGCATTAGATGAAATGTTAAGAGATCGATTAGTCTGTGGCGTCAACGAAGACCGAATACAGAGACGTTTACTGGCTGAACCGACATTAGATTTAAAACGAGCTTTAGAAATTGCACACGGGATGGAAAACGCCGCTAAAGATGTTCGTGACTTGAAGGGAGAAATGCCAAACACAGCGACGAATATAAAGAATGTTATCGTTGTGGTGGTAAACATGACCATACAAAGTGCCGTTTTAAAACTGAAAAGTGCCATCAATGCGGTAAAATTGGACACATAGATAGATAAACACGCTGACACATAGCGAAAGTGTGCCGAAGTTCTAAGAAGGTTTCAAGCGAGAAACGACTAAAGCAAGGGAAAAACTTTCGGGGAAAAAAGGACGGGATTCGGAAATGAATAAAGTTGAACAGCATCAAAGCGACGAAGAGCTAGCGTATAATTTATTCAGCTTCAAAGACAAAGATAAAACACCGCCGTATCGCGAAAAAATGACAGTGAATGGTATTGATATCAACATGGAGATTGATACGGGAGCATCGTTCTCGGTGATTAATGAGAAAACATTGCAAGAAATTAGTCGCGGTAAAGGAAATCTCGACTTAAAACAAACTTAAATTTCCTTACGTACCTACACTGGTGAGAAAATATCTCCGAAGGGAATTACTGAAGTGGTGGTCGAATACAATAACCAAGTTAGTCGGTTACCTTTATTGGTGCTGAAAGGCAATGGTCCTAATTTGATTGGTCGAAATTGGCTTGAAAACATTTGCTTAAATTGGACAAGCATCAAACGACTAGCCAAGCCTAACTTAGAAGAGGTTTTAAACAAGTACGACGACTTGTTTACAGACGAATTAGGCAAATTGAATGGCGTGACTGCCAAGATTTACGTCGACCCGTCAACGAAACCGATTTTTTGTAAAGCTCGGTCGGTACCATACACGATGAAACCTAAGATTGAAAAGGAACTCGAAAGGCTCGAAAGACAAGGAACAATTGAAACCGTACAGTATTCAGATTGGGCAACGCCAGTGGTACCAATCATGAAACCTGACTGAAGTGTTCGATTGTGCGGGGACTACAAAAGGACTGTGAACAAAGTTTCCCGTTTAGATGCCTACCCTTTACCTAAGATCGAAGAAGTTCACAATAAACTGGCAGGAGGGAAAACATTCACTGAGCTCGATTTAAGCCACGCTTACGAACAGATGGTCCTGGACGACGCCTCGAAGGACGTGGTAACGATAAACACGCATCGTGGTTTGTACCGGTACTACCGTCTGCCATATGGTGTATCATCTGCGCCTGGAATTTTCCAAAGAACGATGGAAAGTTTACTCAACGGAATTCCATACACTGGCATCCTCCTTGATAACATTTTGATTTCTGGACCGACGGATGAAGAACACCTTCAGAACCTGGAAGAAGTGATGAAGCGTCTTTCTGAAGCTGGGTTACGTCTAAGGAAGTCGAAGTGTCGCTTTATGCAACCTACCCTCGAGTGTTTGGGTTACCGTATCGACGAAACTGGTATTTATCCAGTTGAAGCCAAGGTGAAAGCAGTTCAAGAAGCACCTACACCTACCAATGTTACCGAGTTGAAAGCATACTTGGGATTGCTCAATTTCTATGGTAAATTCTTACCAAATCTGTCAACTGAGTTAGAGCCACTGTACCAGCTACTTCGTAAGAATCAGAGATGGAAATGGAACACAGAACAGATTCGTGCATTTGAACGATCTAAGACTTTGTTACAATCTGCAACAGTGTT